TGAAAAAGCATTTGACAAAATTCAACATCCATTCATGATAAAAACTCTCAGCAAAATGGGAATAGAGGGCAAGTACCTCAACATAATAAAGGCCATATATGATAAACCCACAGCCAGCATTATACTGAACAGCGAGAAGCTGAAAGCATTTCCACTGAGATCGGGAACCAGACAGGGATGCCCACTCTCCCCACTGTTATTTAACATAGTACTGGAGGTCCTAGCCACGGCAATCAGACAAAACAAAGAAATACAAGGAATCCAGATTGGTAAAGAAGAAGTTAAACTGTCACTATTTGCAGATGATATGATACTGTACATAAAAAACCCTAAAGACTCCACTCCAAAACTACTAGAACTGATATCGGAATACAGCAAAGTTGCAGGATACAAAATTAACACACAGAAATCTGTAGCTTTCCTATACACTAACAACGAATCAATAGAAAGAGAAATCAGGAAAACAATTCCATTCACCATTGCATCAAAAAGAATAAAATACCTAGGAATAAACCTAACCAAGGAAGTGAAAGACTTATACTCTGAAAACTACAAGTCACTCTTAAGAGAAATTAAAGGGGACACTAATAAATGGAAACTCATCCCATGCTCATGGCTAGGAAGAATTAATATCGTCAAAATGGCCATCCTGCCGAAAGCAATATACAAATTTGATGCAATCCCTCTCAAATTACCAGCAACATTCTTCAATGAATTGGAACAAATAATTCAAAAATTCATATGGAAACACCAAAGACCCCGAATAGCCAAAGCAATCCTGAAAAAGAAGAATAAAGTAGGGGGGATCTCACTCCCCAACTTCAAGCTCTACTACAAAGCCATAGTAATCAAGACAATTTGGTACTGGCACAAGAACAGAGCCACAGACCAGTGGAACAGATTAGAGACCCCAGAAATTAACCCAAACATATATGGTCAATTAATATTTGATAAAGGAGCCATGGACATACAATGGCAAAATGACAGTCTCTTCAACAGATGGTGCTGGCAAAACTGGACAGCTACATGTAGGAGAATGAAACTGGACCATTGTCTAACCCCATATACAAAGGTAAACTCAAAATGGATCAAAGACCTGAATGTAAGTCACGAAACCATTAAACTCTTGGAAAAAAACATAGGCAAAAACCTCTTAGACATAAACATGAGTGATCTCTTCTTGAACATATCTCCCCGGGCAAGGAAAACAACAGCAAAAATGAGCAAGTGGGACTACATTAAGCTGAAAAGCTTCTGTACAGCGAAAGACACCATCAATAGAACAAAAAGGAACCCTACAGTATGGGAGAATATATTTGAAAATGACAGATCTGATAAAGGCTTGACGTCCAGAATATATAAAGAGCTCACACGCCTCAACAAACAAAAAACAAATAACCCAATTAAAAAATGGGCAGAGGAACTGAACAGACAGTTCTCCAAAAAAGAAATACAGATGGCCAAGAGACACATGAAAAGATGCTCCACATCGCTAATTATCAGAGAAATGCAAATTAAAACTACAATGAGGTATCACCTCACACCAGTAAGGATAGCTGCCATCCAAAAGACAAACAACAACAAATGTTGGCGAGGCTGTGGAGAAAGGGGAACCCTCCTACACTGCTGGTGGGAATGTAAATTAGTTCAACCATTGTGGAAAGCAGTATGGAGGTGCATCAAAATGCTCAAAACAGACCTACCATTTGACCCAGGAATTCCACTCCTAGGAATTTACCCTAAGAACGCAGCAATCAAGTTTGAGAAAGACAGATGCACTCCTATGTTTATCGCAGCACTATTTACAATAGCCAAGAATTGGAAGCAACCTAAATGTCCATCTGTAGATGAATGGATAAAGAAGATGTGGTACATATACACAATGGAATACTACTCAGCCATAAGAAGTGGAAAAATCCAACCATTTGCAGCAACATGGATGGAGCTGGAGAGTATTATGCTCAGTGAAATAAGCCAAGCGGAGAAAGAGAAATACCAAATGATTTCACTCATCTGAGGAGTATAGGAACAAAGGAAAAACTGAAGGAACAAAACAGCAGCAGAATTACAGAACCCAAAAATGGACTAACAGGTACCAAAGGGAAAGGAACTGGGGAGGATGGGTGGGCAGGGAGGGATAAGGGGGGGGAAGAAGAAGGGGGGTATTAAGATTAGCATGCATGGGGGGGAGGGAGAAAGGGGAGGGTGGGCTGCACAACACAGAGAGGACAAGTAGTGACTCTACAACATTTTGCTAAGCTGATGGACAGTAACCGTAATGTGGTTGTTAGGGGGGACCTGATATAGGGGAGAGCATAGTAAACATAGTATTCTTCAGGTAAGTGTAGATTAAAAATTTAAAAAAAAAAAAAAAAAAAAAAAAAAGAAAGAAAAGGGGGATTACTCCTTAACAGGATAAAACTATTGGTAAATCAAAGATCAACGCATGCTTTAAATATCCTTAATGTTGATCACTTAAAGGGTGTCAGATGATCAGCTATGGAGGTACTCTTTTCTGATAATATTCCTTTCTCTTAATTAAAAAAAAAAAAAAAAAAAGTTACTGTGTGCTGACCTCCAATGAGTTCTGCACAGTGGTATAGAGGGCATGTCAAAGTGTGGGCAAAGGGTCTGTTTGTTTCTACGCAGAAGATCAAGGCCTAGCTTGGATACCCAGAAAATGAACTAAGATACGATATGAGGAGGAGCTTCCGGCATCAGCACTCTCTGGAGGACTCGTGCCGGGGGATGATCATCAAAAAGCCTCCACAGGGATCCGGACGATGCTGCGGTTGTGGCTGCATCCAGCCCACCATCTCCTGGACTTGCCATAAGAAGGAGGAGGGAGATGTCTAGGCTGGCATGTGCATACAGTGAGACAACGAATTTGACTGGATCTGTACTGTTGGAACTCAACCAGGAGTTGGGAGGGGTGCAAGTTGTAGCACCCCAAAATCTCATGACTATAGACTATCTATGGTTAAAAGAACATATGGGATGTGAACAGATCCCAGAAATGGGCTGCTTTAATTTGTCTGATGGTTCAAGTACAGTTGGAAAATATCCATCATATCATAGATAAATTTTCACAAATGCCTAGGGTGCCTAAATGGTTTTCTTGGCTTCACTGGAGATGGCTGGTAATTATAGATTTGCTTTGTTTATGTCACCGTATTCCTATTATGTTAATATGTGTGTGCAAATTAGTTAGTAGTTTAAAACCTATACATACTTAAGGTACTATACAAGAAGATATGTCAAAGAAATAATCAATCCTCCCAAGTTTCCTTCATATGCTACATCTATAGCTTTTCTTCTTCCTTCCTAATTACAAACCTTAAATAGAATTCGTGCCTCATATCGAATTTACCGAGTATCATAATTCCTCCAGGTGGTAAAGATACCTCGAGACAAGTGCTGGGCATAGAAGCCACAGGGCATAAATCTGCAAAGAAGTAAAAAGCTAACCTTTGCAAACAATATGGCTTCTCTCTCACTTACCAACTTTACATTTCCCTGTATGGCCCCGGAAGATGACTGGTTAGCCAGAGACGGGTAAGATTCCTCAAGGGAGGAACAACCTAAGACAGGCACAGTCGCAGGGGGGCCATCAGGTGAGAATTTGGGGATCAACAGAGGTGAGGCTCAGAACCTCACCCCCCCTGCTTTGAGAGAAATCTTCTGCATCCGTGGATGTCTTGCTGCCCTTGTCTAGCCTGGATTAATACTTAGTCCATAGGCACACACCTGATCATCTGATCATCTACATTTGCCTTCTTACAGCACTAAACTATGTTTTCTACCTTTATCTTGCATCTACCTACCACTTCAGCATTTTATTAAAAATAAAAATAATAATAATAATAGGAGAAATGTGGGATCAACATATAAATCAAGTACAAAAATCAAATGAATATTCATATTTGACCTGATGGTTTATAGGTCATATTGCATGATCAAAACCGAAAGTTTCTGTGATGAATGCCCTTGTACTGTTCACCATGTAAGAATTTATTCACTATGTAAGAATTCGTTCACCATGTAAGAACTTGTTCGTTATGCTTCAGAAGATTGGAGACTGACGAGAATTAGACTTGAGATGGATTAATGATTGTACATTGAGCATTGACTCCCCCTACACTGAATTTTATTGTTGTTAACAACCATTTGATCAATAAATATGAGAGATGCCCTCTCAAAAAAAAAAAATCTGTCTTTCCAGTTTCTGGTGAAAAATCATACAAAATATCACTGAATTTACATTCCTGCACCTGGATGGAGCTGTGTAGCCTTCTTTTACACATAGTATGAACTTTCCATTTTGCTACAGCCCCACCCAGCAGCTCCCTAATTTCCATTATTTGTACAGGTCCCTGGAGGCAGTTTGCAATTCCTACCCTACAAGGAAATGAGAAAGTTCAATAACATGTAGCACCCCTGGGTTACAAAAAGCAGGGATAATGAAAATATTGAACTGATAAGAACCAGGAACCAACCAATTAGGTCAGCCACTGAATTAGGGCCTTGGAAGCATCCTGCAGTGTCAGAGACCAACCCTTTAGTTGCTGAAGTGGGGTGTGTGTATGCATATGTGGGGAGTGGGCAGGTTGGATGGGCACAGTGTATACTCTACAGAGGCTTAAGTTTTTTAATGACTTGAAACAGCGGTGAAGTGCATACTAGTTGAACAGGGGCCTTGGTTAAGGGGGTAGAGTTGGGCAGGGCAGTGGCAGAGTAGTGAAGTAACATAAGGGCTGATCCCTCGTCCATGTCATAGTGCCCACCGGTGTCACAATGGCATTAGGTTGCCTAAACTCCTGCCACCCATCTCTGAACCTCACTTTGCCACAGAGAGGCACTGAACTGAGAAACTGCCTTGTAACAGGTCATACCCCTGTGTCTATTCCCTTTCTTTTATCAAGAGGGGAAAAGCACAGAACTACCTCCACCTCATCTGGTCTCCATACGCCAATTATCTTTACTGTTACAAATACAAGATCACTCTCCGGGAGAGGATGCTGCCTTGTTATAAAAGGTGCTTTTTTTTCATTTCTACTTAAGGTGGTTTATATGAACTGTAAGTAAAATATAAGAATTTGAATGAACTTCCCAAGTGTCAAAAGAGATGAGAAGAGCAAAGTAAGGTGGAAAGCATGTATGGAACTTTACTTTTTACATCTGGCTGGCTTGAGAAAATATAAACAGGCCGGTCCATAGAAAATACAGAAGACAGTGCCAGAGCCTGGTCCTGTGTAGCTGGAAGTTATGAACCTTTCCCTATCTCAGACTCAGAGAAACTAATTTAGGCCTCTTCTTCCCAACTAGCATCACTTATAAAGAACGGGAGGACTTGACACTCCGGCCCCGTTCCTGCCTTCAGTGCTCCTGAGTCCCTAGCAGGCCTCCAGGTGGTCAGAAGCACCAAGCAGGGTGATCCCGACCAGCTGAAAGAATTGTATTTGGTAAGTGGACTTCTGCATTGCAACAGGGCAGCCCCTTGTTGCTGTAGAGATATCTTGCAGAGGAGGTATAATTAGCTAGTTGGGAAATAAATTACAGATTAGACCTAGAAGAGACCTTGGAGCTCATGTGTGAGGGCTACTTGCATTATAAACAAGGCTTCTGGCTCTGAGATCTCAAGTCAAGGTCATAGAGCTAGCAGTGATGAGTAGGATGGGAGAAGAGCAAATGGCAGCAAAAATAGAGCAGACTACATTAAGACTTCTGGGACCTAAAGTTGTTAAGATGTTAAGCTGGGACTAGAACCCAGAACTGCATCACCCTGTGTCACATTGCAATACAATGGCTGTGTGTAATCTGCATTTCAAATGAGTAATGGTGGAATTCAGAGAAAACCCATATTATGGGGAAAAGGTGAAAGAGTATTATTGGTGAGACAGCAAATAGATGGCACAGCTTTGTTTAAAGAATAAGCTCTGATGTGAATGTTTCTCAAGAGTTAGTGCATCCCTGAGGTGAGATTAGTAGGCAGTAATAATATACTGACTCCAGATTCCAGACTGATATCGAGAAGAGCTCTGTGATAGGGGTGGAATTAGGTCCTAGGACTAATGGGTATGTTAAGACTTTGGCTCCAGTTCCCCCGAGCTTCCCATTAGGCCCCTCTTTGCTCCCACAGACACACCCAAATCAGCCTGAGATCTGACTTGAGGACTAGATGAGTGCACAGGCAGATTATTACTCTCATTTTCTCTTTTTCCAGGCTGGGAACCTGACAGTGCTGGTTACTGCCTGCCTGCTCCATCAGGACCCAGTGCAGGTAGACTTCCACTTTCACCTCACTCCCCAGACCTCTGCTCATTGGCACGGCCTGCTCTGTGACCATCGACTCTTCCTGGATATCCCATATCGAGCCTTGGACCAAGGCCACCAGGAAAGGTGACTAAGCCTGGCAGGGAAAGTAGGGAGGGGAGATAGGGGACTTTACTCTTTTTATCATGGCATCATCAGGTAGTGGGTGTGCTAACCACTGAGGACTGATACAGAGCTGGATACATTTAAACCACTGAACTGGCATGCAGACCAACCTAGCTAAGTCAGGATGTGGGGTTCAAGGAATAACTGTCCATGGAAGGTTGCTGGACTCAGAATCACAAACACAGAAATGGGGATCCATAGAGTTGAATGGGAAGTGCTTTCCAGCTGTTTGTCTTTATAGAGTAATCCCTTCTCCCCAGACCCCTTCCATAGCATGGGTGTCAATCCAGTGGTGTGCAATCCCCTGGCTTCAGAGAAAAGTCAATAGACTAGCAACTTTCATTTTCTGGCTTGGGTCAGGAAAAACCAAGCAAGATTTCTTTGTCCCAGGTAGGCATCTTTCTAGATTCTGAGTTCACTAGACATTACATTAACCATGATTTTTTCTCTGGCCTCTAGTTTGACTGCAACACTGGAGTATGTGGAGGAGAAGACCAATGTGGACTCCGTGTTTGTAAACTTCCAAAACAACCAGAATGATAGAGGTGAGGATCTGCTCTGTCCTTCCAGGATGTTGGTGCTTGTGTTTAAGCAGCTAACAGCAACTTTCCATTGGAAAGTTTCCCTTTAGGAGACCCTCTTTCCCTCACCCTTTAAAAAAGGGCATGCCCAGGCACTTCATGAATTCAACTCCCTCAAATTTCCCCCAAAGAAATTTCCCCTGTTCATTCAGGTCACAACTGTATTATCAGGATGGCCGTGCAGGTAGATTTCAGAAGGTAGACTGAAGGACCACTGGTGAAGTTACACAGAATCCATTCAAAGGATGTGGCTGGTAGAACAGAAAGAGCCTCAAATTGATTAAGCACCTACAGTGTGAAAGGGCCAAGCATGAGGCCAAGAGGATAGGAATATATTTAACCAAATGCTGTAGCACATGTTTTAGGAGCCACTTCTTCCCTCAAGGAGAATATACTGTTGGATATGAAAGATGGTCAGGAGTTTATTAAACCACTGTTAGAAAGTTCATAAACATTTCATTTAATCGTAAATTCTGTGAGGTAGGTTCTATGATCCCCATTTTACAAATGTAAAAAACAAGTTCAAAGGGTTAACTGGAATGTTACAGAGTTAATGAAATGTTAAAGCCAGGGTTAGAGTCTAGGTCTGTTTGGCTTCAAAGCATATCATCCTAATGCCTGCACCACACTGCTTATCTCACAGCCATCCCTTAGTGGAATAGCTGTGCTGAGCTTCAAAGACTGTTATTTCTTTCCTTTCACAGGTACCCTGCTACGGGCCTTCAGCTACATGGGCTTTGAAGTTGTCAGACCAGATCACCCTGCCCTCCCTCCCTGGGACAATGTCATCTTTATGGTATATTCCCTTGACAGGGACCTTGGCCACCTGCCCAGTGAGCCTTCCTGAATGTGCTTATTACTACTATGTGAGGTGTTGGAAACCTTGATAAGTGGAAACCAGGGACCCAGGATGTGATTTAGAATACCTTTTTCCATCCTAGGAATAAAGGGTAGTGCCATCAAGTGTTCACTGGTTTTGGGGGCAAAGGTGGGGTTGGCTGGAGTGAAACATGAACCTTATGGAGCTGAATTCACTGTAGAATAAATGTTTAATGATTGAGTAGATCAGAGGGGCCTGGACCAGAAAGGGAGGGGACCCAAAGATTTTAGGCTCCTTCTGCCTTTCTCCCACCCCTCCCAGTCATTTACCAGCATTCTAATCATTTTCTGAGAGCCTGAGAGAACCAAGCACTAAGGAATTCAGAAAGAAAAGCCTTTTTGGGAGACTTCATCCATATATTCCAGTTCAAACTGGAGGCAAGTACTAATTCCTTCTCTTTGGATGTGGAGGAAATCAGAGAAGGTATGTGGATCCTGTAGTTTTGGTTCAAGGTGACGATTTTGACAAAATAAGTAGGAAGCATAAAAGAGGGCATTCCAGGCAGCAAGAAATTACAGGTTTGTATTGGAAGAATAACCCATGAGAATGGGATGTAAACCAACCAGACATAAAGGCTATACTACATAGACTGCTATGCACACTAACAAACTGCAGCTAGGAGTGAGTACTCATATTCCAGAGCAAGTCCTATGATTTATAACAGGGAACCTCTTAATAAAGGCTGAGGAGCCGAGGAAACTGGGGACCAACTGGCCGCATTACTCAGTTGTAAAGCAGCTCCAATTCCAAGGCCATGCCAGCTTCAGTGAATTAAGTCACTGCAGCCAAAATTTGAAATGTCCAGTCAAAGCAGCCCTGCACTGATTCCTCCACGACTACATGAGCTACTCATGAGAAATGCTCCTTCACTGGAAGCTTTCTAATTGGTACTGAGATTTTTCTGAGAAAATAAATTTTGAAAATTGTGGATATGGGAAAATACAGTTGTTATGTAGTATATGGGTAGATCTAATTTCTAGATTTTAAAAAATCTGCATACAGTATCCTTATGTGCTAATTTTATCTTGCTGATCCTTTAAAAAAAAAAAGAGTCCATTTGCTATTATTCTACCACCCACATTGATAATATTTACTTTCAAGTATGGTTCCTGTTCTCATTGGGTCCTCACGATACTGTCAGAAATGGAGAGATGCTGTAAAGCATAACAGGCTCTCTAAAGTCTCACAGGAAGTTTATGGTGGAGATATATTTCTAGAACCCAGGTTTCTAGAATCAATCTAGGCCTTTTCTTCCCAGTAGTTTAGGTGGGGTCTTATTTACATAATCAAAACCCAGATTGGTCCTGGTTCTTAGTGAATGGTTAATTCTGAAATTAAGGGGAAAGACTATGATTTGTGCATGAGAGGGATGCTTGCTTCATAGATGAGCCCTTCTGAGACATTTGGCAATTTTCACGATTTAGGTTCAGAAGATACCCAAAAGGCCCGTTTCCATCTTGTAATTCAATCAACATTTAACTTTAGATAGTTTTCTTGAGAACTTTATTCAACAAAGAATCCCTCAAGTGACTTAAAGAACTATTTACATTCTCTTTCTCTCAATGGATATGTGTGTATATCTGTATTATAGATACTATACTAACAGTTTGGAGTATTTCCTGAGTTACTCTCTCCTTGTCTACATGTATTTTAACTAAAGTTTACAGGGAAATTGCTGGAGCAGTTTAAAAAACCTGTCTCCAGTAACATCAGTAGTTGAGGCTGGGAGACAGTATGCTCTTCTCACTTCCTGAGGCCTTTTAATGTGATTATGTTGATTTTTGCCTTTGTCTTAACTGCAGTCTTCGAGCTCACCACTCAAAATCTTCCCTTTGCCAGAGTTGCCTGATGAAGTGAGTTAGCCATCTGCAGTCATCACTTACAGTGACCAAACCCTGGCTGTTTCCCATCCTCACAAAGGACACAGCCTAGCAGTAGTGTACTTTATGACTGAGGGGAACAAGCTGGATGCTGAGTAGCCTGAAGTGACACAGAAATATCCAAACACTAGAAGGGGGATGTGGGATGGAGTAGGGGCATGTATTTGTCTTCCTCTACCCCACACTCTTTCTTGTAGTCCAGTGGAAGGAGAAAATGCATTTGGTCCACAGCAAGCCAGATCATGTGTATAATAACTGCATAGATCTCTATCATAGGCTCCTCTCTCCAGGCACCAAATCCTGACAAAGACAAAAAGCTTAGAATTTAAATCAGAATCCCAGAGCCAGAAGGGCTCACTCTGAGAACAAGTTAACCTGCAGAACAGTAGTATTAAGGTAGCTACAGGAAGAGAGAGTAAAGGTCCCTGTTGTCACCCTTATTACTTTCATGTTGCTACAGACAGATAGCTCCACTCACACAGCAGATGGCTGAAGCTGACTTCAGAGCAAGTAATCATCTTCAAGGTTATCATCACCAGACATAGAAGCAGCTTCTACTTAGCAGAAGAGAGAAGGAAAAAGTTAGACACTGCCCTAAGCTAGCAGGCACTGCCACTGAGACCCAGGGGCAAAATGGGTTTCCTGGTGCTCAAAGACCACCTTGGTGAAGGGTCAGGTCCTAACAATCTCCCTAGTTTGGAGAGACTTAACTGAGAAATGATAGCTTCCAAAGATGCTCTAGGAAGGACATGCTGTTTGTACCTGATAAGCTGAGGCAGGACAGGGTATGTGCTATCTCTCCAGAGCTCTTCTTGGTTTCAGTGAGCATACTGCTAAGAGAGACATCTGTTTCTGTAGCCTGAGGGGATGAAAATGAGAAAAAGGAAGAATGTGTAGGTTGGTGAGAAAGGTGAGGCCATCCTATGATATCACTCGCAGTATTTGGTTAAGGCAACTGAGTTTGGCTGATGAGGAGGACACACTGTCTCCTTTGATCAACTAGTGTGGTAATTCAGAGTCCTTAGAAAGGCTCTCTACAAAGTGTCATGCATAACTAGAAGCCTTCATGTCTCGAGGCACCAAGTTTGCCCCCAGGAAATGACTACAATGGTTCACTTACCACATCTTGCAACACAGCAGCTCTGTTTTCTTCCATGTCGTCAGGAAGCTCAACTGCATATCCTTTACGAACTAATTCTAACCCAATATCAAGTTTCTGGAAAGAAAGGGAATGATGTTCTCTCTGTAAGAAGGGTAAATTAAATCTAAGGAAATAGGGCAGAAGTTCTAGTACTGATTAAAGATATTCCTTTGGTGGGATGCTAAGCAGAATCTTACTAGGTAGAAGTAACATCAAATAAGAGTTCCTGAGAAAGAAAAAGTAAATGAGATTGTAAATGTACTGAAGAGATAGTGAGGAATCAATGAACCCCAATCTTACCTTCCCATTGCTAGTATCATATAAATATATCTTGGGCCAAGTTGAGATCCCAGTCTGGACATAGCTGGAGATCTTGGCCACGAGGGGTTTCCAGTCAGCACAGTGAGTGAGTCTGTCAAACTCATCCAAAGCATCCTCTTCCCATTGTTCACCTGGCGAATGATTGTAGGGAGGGCATTAAGAAGAAGTCAGTGCTGATGGGGAGGATTATACCCTGGAGGAAAACAGGAACTACCTCTTTCTACTCAGGAAGGTACCTTTGTTGACTGCCAGGCAGGTTTTTGGCTGCTGCTTTCCAACACTGGTGAGGAAAAGACACCTGTACCCCCACAACTCAGAAAGGTTGGGAAAGTGGGAACCCCCTCATGTGCTGCATGAGAGTCACTCTATTTGGAGGCAAGATCAATAAATAGAATTATGACCAATTTACCTGAGGGGGCAATCTGTGCCAGACTGCACTCTATTGCTTGAAATGGAAGGCTTAGGAAGTCACTCCTAAAGGGAAAGAAATTGAAATTAGAATTCCAGAGCCAGAAGAACTTTCTTACATTCCTCACTTCTAGACGGCACCAATTAAGCTAGTGGGAGAAGATAATCATCTGCTCCTGGTAAACAGGTTCTCTTCCAATCCCTCTGGTAATGACCTCACCACCCTATGGCCAGGACGGAGTCAACAGCTGGGATTCCAGTCTGACTCTACCCTTGCCTCCACACTGACCTGAGTGCCCTGAGGTCCCTCAGTGGGCAATCTCCATTATCTCCAAAGTCAACAAAGTAAAGGTCCAGGTTCCCATTTTCCAAGGTGCCAAGGACCCGGGCACGATACCAGGAACCATTTGTAGGTAAAGGTGCTGCTACGATGTCTCCTACATGTACAGTCAAGTCTTCAGGCTATACATGGGGATGAGGATCAGGATGGGGGAGAGTTAGGGAAGGGGTGGGCTAAAAAACAGATATACAGGGAATACCAGAAAGAAGAAAGAACGAGCAGTTGCTCCATAGAAAGAGAAGAGAATATATCACAATGAAAAAGATATGCCCCTTTTAATCAAACCCCAGCTCTATCCCCATGGCAACTCACCAGACTGTTCTCATAGTGTTGGGTCATCTCATTGACAAGCTTATCCAACTGCAGGCTGCGGGAACCAATGATTTGGATCCAGAAGTGGTTAGGATGTTCAGAAGCAGAGACATAGACTTCTAGGAACTCATCAGCATGGAAACTGAAGTCTGGACTGGGGACTAAACAGATGGATAAGCAGGTGAGGCTTAAGAAACATCACCATCTAATATGATGACCATACCAGAATCATCTCTGGTTGAAATGGGGAGACTGCATGGGGAGGGGGTGAGAGATACAAATGGCTATTACTACTTAAAAAATGATTGGAGTGACAACTGGATAAATCATAAAAGAACATCTGAAGAAAGGTATCAAGTTATGTCCTGTATCTTTCTGTAACTGTAGTAAGAGTTTACATTCTTAGTCATCTGCCACGTACTCAAATAAATCCTCCATGTGCTAGCTGCAGCATGGATCAGTGAAAAGGCACATAGACAGATGAGGGCTTATTCCAGATCCCATTCTACTACTGACTCATTATGTGGCCCTGGACAAGTCTGTGAACCTCTTAGGGGCCCTGGTCTTTCCTGCTCTTTCTAGTGCCTATGCATATAAGAGAAAGCTCACAACGTTTTCATTCTTCTTGAATGGTGATGGTTTTTAAAAACAGGAATGAGACAGGGGAAAAAAAAATCAGTCTGAGTATTTTCCTGTTGCTTGGGAAAGAATATCATGTGAATGATATGATGTATTACAGACTAGTTTCCTATGAACTAGCATATTTCTGTAACATTCTCCATCATTCAGACAAATATTACTCATTTTTCATACTAATCCAGGTAAAATATTACCAGGGCTTATCTGTGATGAGAGACTTGTAAGTGTAGTCAAGAAAAAATAAAGTATTTTTAATTGCTTCCTATTTGGGATTATGGGTTTCCTTTGTTACTTACTTTCAAACATGGACATCTCTGGATTGGTCTGGGCTCCAGACTTATGAAAGTTGTCACCACC